GTCACATATGGCGACGTCCTCGCCAAATTAAAGGGGGCGGTGACTCCTGCGGAGTTCGGGGCCCCGGACGGGTTCGCGGTCAAGGTGACCGCTACCGGAGCCCGTCTTTTGGAGGTCCCCGGCGCGACCAGCGGCCCATCGGCCGACGCCCTGGCCGAGAGGCTTAGGGCGTGCCTCGGTGCGGACGAGGCCCGCGTGTCCAGGCCCACCAAATGCCTGGATGTCAGGATTTTGGGCCTGGACGACTCCGTCACGGAGAGTGAGGTGGTGGCCGCTGTGGCCAGGACGGGAGGGTGCCCTGCTGACCAGGTCAGGGTGGGCACCATACGTCCGGACAACTCGGGGCTGCGCACGGTGGTGGTGAGCTGCCCCGTCACAGCGGCCAAAACATTAAAGGAGGGCAAAAGGCTCTTAGTGGGATGGGTCTCGGCGCAGGTCAAGCTGCTCGAGACCCGGCCTCTGAGGTGCTACCGCTGTCACGTGGGGGAGCACGTGAGTGTCAAATGCACCTCGGAGGTGGACCGCAGCGACTGTTGCTTCCGCTGCGGTCGGCCCGGTCACAAGGCCGGCTCGTGCAACGCCCCGCTGCACTGCAACGCATGTGCAGCGGCTGGCAAGCCGGCCAATCACCGGGTCGGGAGCAAGGGCTGCTCCCCTCCTGCTAAAAAGGGCAAAGGTAGGCCCTCCGCCGCCCCTGCCGTTTCCGCCGCCGCCGCCGCCACTGCCACCGCAGTCGCCGCTGCCGCCACTGAGGAGGTCGGAATGGACTGTCAATAGTGGCTCCATTCCGCCTCCTCCAGGCGAACATCAACCACTGCGCCGCTGCTCAGGATCTCCTGCTCCAGAGCATGGCGCAGTGGTCGATCAATGTCGCCGTGGTCTCCGAGCCGTATTTTGTCCTGCCCAGGGATCACTGGGTGGCGGACCTGGACGGCTCGGTGACCATCATCTCGTCGGCCGCCGCCGGTACCCCGACTCTTGAGGCTGCTCAAAGAGGCCGGGGTTGTGTCGCAGCACGGTTCGGAATGCTCGCTGTGGTGGGCGTGTACTTCTCTCCGAACCGAACTCTCGCCGAGTTCCACAACTCCTTGAGGGAGTTGGTCACTGTCGTCGTCGGGTTCCGTTCCCTCCCCGTGCTCGTCCTCGGGGACTTCAACGCCAAAAACTTGGCTTGGGGTTCCCGGTTCACCGACGTCCGGGGTAGGATGGTGGAAGACTGGGCCCTTGAGACAGGCCTAGTCGTCCTGAACCGGGGTTCTGTCCCCACGTGTGTGCGGATGCAGGGCGAGTCGGTGGTGGACATCGTTCGCCAGCCCTGCTCTGTCACCGCGTATTGTTGGCTGGCGCGTCATGGAGGAGGTGGAGACGTACTCCGACCACCGGTATATCCGGTTCGACGTCTCCGCCGAGTCCGCAGACCCGCCGGTCAGACAGGCCCCATGTGGCCCGCGTTGGGCGCTGAAACAGCTGGACCGGGAGCTGCTCCTGGAAGCCGCCATCGTGCAGGCCTGGGTGATACCACCGGTCAGGCCTGCCGACATAGACGATGAGGCCAAGTGGCTCCAGGACGCCATGTCCAGGATCTGTGACGTGGCGATGCCCCGGATCCGGTCGAGGCAACAAAAGCGCCAGGTGTACTGGTGGTCGCAAGAGCTAGCAGCTCTACGCAAGGCGTGCACTGCTGCGCGACGCCAGTACACTAGGCACCGCAGGAGGCGAGAGAGGCGGAGTTGTACGAGGGATACAGGGCGGCCAAGGCCCTCCTCAAGGTGGAGATATTGCGGGCCAAGGAGGAGGCCCGCCGAGAGATGCTGGGGACTCTGGACAGAGATCCGTGGGGACGCCCGTACCGGATGGTACGCGACAAGCTCCGCGCCTGGGCTCCCCCGCTCACCCAGAGTCTCCGGCAAGAAGTCTTGGAGGAGGTGATTGGCACCCTGTTCCCTCGACTGTGGAGGGGGTTCACCCCTCCGTATATGACTCCGCCCCCTGCGGTGCCCGACGACGACGACGACATCGTCCCAGAGGTGACCGAGGCAGAATTGAGAGCGGCGGTGCGCCGGATGGGCGCCAAGAATACCGCCCCGGGACCCGACGGCCTGCATGGCAAGGCATGGGTCCTGGCCTCAGAGGCTCTCGGGCCTCGATTGATTGGTCTCTACAGCGCATGTCTGGAGAGAGGCCAGTTCCCGCTTCTCTGGAAAGCGGGAAAACTGGTCCTCGTGCGGAAGACGGGGCGCCCTGCGGACTCTCCGTCCGCGTACCGGCCCATAGTGTTGCTCGACGAGGTGGGGAAAGTCTTCGAAAGAATCATTTCGAACCGCCTCGTCGCGCACCTGACGGACATTGGGCCGGACTTGTCGGACGGCCAGTTCGGCTTCCGCAGAGGGCGCTCCACGGTGGACGCCATCATGCGCGTTAGAGACCTCACGACGGGGACTGCAGTGTCCAGGGGTAAGGTCGTAGTGGCGGTGTCTCTGGACATCGCCAACGCCTTCAACTCCCTGCCCTGGAGCTGCATCTTGGAGGCACTCCGATATCATCGGGTGCCTACCTACCTCCGTCGTGTAATCGAGGCTTACCTGACGGACAGGTCCGTCAGCTACCCCGGTCACCGGGGCGAGTGGAACCGGCGAGAGATGTCACGCGGTGTTCCACAGGGTTCGGTTCTGGGGCCGCTCCTGTGGAACATCGGCTATGACTGGGTGCTGCGCACCGACCTCCCGAACGGCGTTAGCACTATATGCTACGCCGACGATACGCTGGTGCTGGCGCACGGGAGGTCACACCAGGCGGCGGCCGACTTAATGGCGACAGCGGTTGCGACAGTCGTTGAGAGAATCCGGCAGTTGGGACTCGAGGTGGCGCTCCACAAGTCCGAGGCCATGTGTTTTCATGGCCGCGGGAACGCGCCACCTCCGGGTGGGTCCCAAATAACGGCGGGAGGAGTTACCATCGGCGTCGAGACGACGATGAAGTACCTAGGACTCGTCCTCGACAGTCGGTGGAACTTCATAGAACACTTCCGACGTTTGGCTCCAAAGTTGGAGAGGACGGGGGCTGCGTTTAAACGCATCCTCCCCAACCTCGGGGGGCCAAACGCCTCCTGCCGGAGGTTATACGCCGGGGTCGTGCGGTCCATGGCCCTCTACGGCGCCCCTGTTTGGGCGCCTAACCTGTTGCGGCGTCCCGCTCGGACGCTGCTCATGGCACAGAGGGTCATGGCGATCCGAATGATCCGCGGATACCGCACGATCTCTGGGGAGTCGGCGAACCTCCTTGCCGGATTACCGCCGTGGGATCTGGAGGCGAAGGTGCTCGCGCGCGTGCACAGCATGCGCGCGGAGGCACGTCGCCGGGGCGAAACTCCGCTGCCGCGCCAGATAAGTGCGTGGCGGGATGAGCTCCGGCGCGATCTCATGGCGGAATGGCAGCAACGACTGTCGCAACCGAGGGCTGGGCTCGCTGCCATCGCAGCGGTAAGTCCCCTCTTTGAGGAGTGGCTTGAGAGACGCTACGGCGTCCTCACCTACCGCCTGACGCAGGTCCTCACCGGACATGGCAGTTTCGGGAGGTACCTGTGTCTGATGGGGCGGGAGGAAACGCCCGGGTGTCATCACTGCGAGGACCGCCCTGAGGACACGGTGGAACACACGTGGGAGAATGCCCTTCGTGGGCTGAGCACCGTGTCCTCAGGGAAGTGATCGGCGATGGCGACCTCTCGCGTCCGGGCCTAGTGCAGGCCATGATGCGGAGCGAGGGGGATTGGGATGCCGTCTCCTCCTTTTGCGAAGCAGTCATGCTAGCTAAGGAGGAGGCGGGACGCGTGAGGCAGCGAAGCGCTGCCTCCTCGCAACCCAGCCATCGCGAAGGACACACCGGGCGTCGGGGATCGCGGGACGATCTCCGGCCACCGTAAGCGCGGGCCTGCGGACGGCGAGCATGGGTGGCTCCCCGTCCGACCAGAAACAGACCCGAGCGTACGGCGCGTCGCGTTCCGCGCGCGCCTCAAAGAGCCATCAGACCACCACAGATGGGGTCCAATAGGGCCGATGCCGATTCGGAGTCGCGGAGAACCTAACGGGTAACCGGGGCTCCGGCTCGACGTGCAGGAGAAGGAACGGGGTGGTTTTTAGTCAGTAAGAGTCTGACACTCCCTCCCGCCTCACCCAGGCGGGGGCAGTCATTCGATGATTTTCCCCCCTTAAAAAAAAAAAAAAAATACCTATACTGTTGTTATAACAGTAATAATTAGACATAATTTTTGAATTATTATTATTTTATTGTTTAAATGTAAAATTGTGGTTACTCTGACATATTATTATCTATATTCCATCAATGTCTAATTTTAAATAAGGTTCCCAGATGTCGGTTAGTTCGCAATCATTATGAGTGACTACTATATTTGCACGCCATTGTATACGGCAAACATGTCTCGAACTTTTTTCACTCTTACCCGCTATCTTACATGGTATTGTTAATTGTATGTACACATGTGTTTGAGCAAATAAATATGATTTGATTTGATTTACGTAGTTGGACTATTATTGATAGTATCAAATTCCATTACCTTTTGAATTATAGAGAATGTAAATATTCGTCATTTGTTATTCGTCATACAAAAGAGGCCCATGACAGAACTTCTGGGCGAGTCTTTTTCTGCACCATGAATGAAGGTAATAAAAATATTACTTTAATAATATGAGAACCACTTCAAAAATACGTAGGTGTAACTGTCTACAGTTACACCTACGTATTTTCGTATTTACGTATACGTCAACCTACCTAGCGGACGAATCGAGCAGATCATTCTACCTTCATTTGCTATGAGACAAAATCCCCGCGTTTGCAACAGGGCTTTTTTAACTACGCCTGTGTCATAGTAATGAATAATATTTTATGTATAAAAGATTGAAATGAAATTGAATTTATTTTTAACGTTCGATACATGAATTGGGCTGCGTTAGTATGACGAATAAAAAATCACAGGTATAACTTACCGTCATGAGAATCATAGATGTAAATAACTTGCTTCCAACCGTAATGAGTGATGGTAGCAATGACTGCGCGGTGGTAGTCGGGACGTAAGCTGACAGCATAGTCATTGAGCCCAGAAGATGGTGGGATCACCTGCAAATTCGTATTAAGTTGTAACATCATAAGGTATGAAAATGGCAAGCTTTTTAAACCTCGAAAGGCAGGTAAATTATGCACAATGTGACACCCACTCTACGTCAATTGTGGGTCCCACCTAATAATAGTCCCGTCAATCAGGCATTTAGGCACCATACTAGAAATTGTTGTTAAAAATTAAGAAAATTGCTCGACCTCAGAATTTATTCCAAGACCTGTGTCAGTGCTTGTGAGAATGAGAACACTCGACCAACGAGGCAGTTATTCAAAGTTTTATGCAACATAAAAAAACCACAGGCATTCTATCTAACCTCCCGGTAACAACGAATTCATTATCGTGGTTACTTTTTTAATCATATGCATCTGTTTTCATCTATACGCACTTTTGATACTTATAAACGCAATAATAAAATCGTTATCAGTTTTCCAAAATCAATCAATTTTCTAGTCCAGGGTTTTCTTAGTTTGCATATTACAGTGTCAAAACATTTGGATTTCAAAATGTCATTCCACACATTTTATAAGTACCTTATACTATATTCACGTCCTTTAGTCCTTTCACAATTTCTAAAATTAATATTTTATAATACCATAGCGACAGTATTTCAATTTCACTTTAAAAGGTCTTTCTGAGTTTAATTACTGAACAAGTGAATGAGACGTGTATAAGCTAGAAGGTACCTAGATGTATAAATGTTGTATTCAGGGCTGAAGTAAAATATGGTTGTAAAACGGGTTTCACTGGATCATTTTTCATACAAAGGTATTTGAAATAAATTAAAAATAGCAGACTCATTATTTTGGGTTACTAGATACTATTTATGCGATTGCCATTTGTAATAAAAACGGAAAAATCACGCGATGGTGAAGCTTTGACGTGATTTTTTTCGTTGTTTGTCTTTTTATGGACACCTTATCATTTTAAAGTGAAGAAGTCAAGTCAAAGACATTGAAAAAAAGGCTGACGTAATGTCACTTAGAAATGATTGTAGTACCAAAATGTCAGTAGTGTATTTATGTGTGCGTGGACTTGCAAACATCGTAATGTATGAAGTGTAACGGGTCATGTCACGCGACAGATGTCCTCCGTATATACAATATGTGTGTATTCTGCGTGGAAGTCTATAGTAGCCAGGTGCCGCCACTGTAGTTTGAAGAGACCAGGTCCGTCCTTTTTTCAACGTCCTTAGATATAGTCCTTCTTTTATGAAATGGAGGCAAACGAGCAGACATCACCTGATGGTAAGCGATAAGCGCCGCCCATAGGCACTCGCAACACCAGAGGAATCACAGGTGTATTGCCGGCCTTTTAAAAAAGGAATACGCTCTTTTCTTAACGGTTTGAAGATCGTATCGTTTTGGAAATACCGCCAACGACAGATCATTCCACAATTTCGCTGTGTAAGGCAGAAAGCTACGTGAGAAGCGCACAGTTGTGGCCACCATCTATATGATGGGGATATGCTGTCGTGAGAGTCGATGGCGAAAAGATGCAGCAAGTATCAAGTCACACAATGCTCAAAGCACTCCCCGTGGTATAAGCGATAGAAAATGCACAAAGAAGTTACATCTCTACGCATTGCCAAAGTGTCTAGCCGGTTTGAAACATCCCGACATCCAACAATCTAAATGGCATGCCGCTGAAAGCGGTCCAGAGGAAAAAGCTGGTACTGGGGTGCCCCCCCCAAAGATGAGATCAGTATTCCATGTGGGAACGAACGAACCTGTCCCTTATATAGAAACCGAGCCTGGGCGAAATACTGCCTCGATCTATTAAGCTCACCAAGCTTCTTCAAGGCTAATTTGGCCTTATCCTCTAGATGACCGCGGAACTGGACGTCGCTCGAAATGCTGATACCAAGTATTTCAATACCGGTTGAGGCAGTTAGGGCGGTGCTTTGAATCTGAAGAGAGACGAAAAAGAGCAATTTCTTAGCGTTCGACACGCAGACCTGTGTCTTAGTGGGGTTAAACTGGACCAAATTAAGTCCACCCCAATCAGAGATTCTCCCTAAAGCGGTCTCGATTTCAGACACGAGTCTGTTTCGGCTCTCCATGACGTTTTCCCGAGAAATGTTAGTTTTAGCTTTACTGAGGAATAACGATTGATCTTTACTATAGGAGTTTAGGGAACAGAGAGTATAGTTCCCTAAGATCGGAAAAGGAGGATCCTCCGACCAGGCGAGGTGATCGTGCCTGGCGGGCTTTCTGCCCAACAGTTGCTCGTTGGGATTTTCTATCCGTGTTAAATCGCTTGTAAACTTTGCATGTGCGATGTAGGATTCTTGTGACGTCATCCGTTGACATGTGGCATGTGTCGCCACATCACTCCCTCCCAAGACCGGAGGTCGATTCCGCTGAGACTGCTGTCGATGCTTGAGATGAGTGGCGCCAGAGCCGAGAGAGAGTGTAGAACGTCCCTAGTTCCAGTGGGTCGGAACCGTGCCGCTGAGTGCCCAGTGAGTCGGGTCAGCGGTGCAGGGTGAAACTCCAGTGAGTCGGAGAGATGCGTTCGCAGTGTCCCACGGTGAGTCGGGGAAGAGATGCTGCGAGGGTAGGTGCGTAGTGGCCGGCATCTGCGTTGACGGGAGGAGGTGTCCTTCAGACCGTGTGCAGAAGTGCTGTGCCTAGACGCTGGTGAGGCCGTAGGGAAGAACCAGGCTGCACGACTTCGTTGCAGGCGATGGTGGTCCCTGATGAGGCCGAGGATGCTGGTTGGCTGCGACTTGATTACCGCTCAGCGGCGAAGTGATGAATGAGAGGGATGGCGATACGGATGATGCTGATCTGCTCCGTGAAGTGAAGGTTGCTTCCAATCACGTCGGGGTCACCACTTTAGGGAACAGAGAGTATAGTTCCCTAAGATCGGAAAAGGAGGATCCTCCGACCAGGCGAGGTGATCGTGCCTGGCGGGCTTTCTGCCCAACAGTTGCTCGTTGGGATTTTCTATCCGTGTTAAATCGCTTGTAAACTTTGCATGTGCGATGTAGGATTCTTGTGACGTCATCCGTTGACATGTGGCATGTGTCGCCACAGGAGTAATACCGAAGAATATGTTGCGAATATCAATAAAGAATTTCGATTAGATTTGTTGGTTGTGATTTATGAACTTGTACTTATAATGTATTTATATTGTTGCAAACTACTAAAGCAAAATGAAGGATTGTAAATTTGCATAATCATGATAGTTTTTTCTTTCTTACTTTTTGTATTAAGGATATTATATTTATTGAAATGTATCCTTAATATTATATTTATTGAAATGTATCCTTAATATTATTTAAAATAAACATACCTACTTAACAAGTTACGCTACAAAATAAAAGATATATATCTTAATCTTGTTTTGATAATTCATTATTTTTCTGTTCTCGCTCTATGTAAGCTTCCAGTATGCTATTTCTCACATGTGTTCATAACATCAAAGTTATAAATCTAAAAGCAAGGCTAGCAAAGAGTCCAAAATATTGAAACTGATTTATATAAATTGTTAATTATCGAATCGTTATTACAAGATTGATTCTTCTTTTTATGCCTTCTTCTTAAGAACAGAACATTTCATGGCTTTATATCCATGTTAATATATTTTGATAATAAAGTAAGCAGATTAAAACGTGCGAAGTATACAAAATTGCGCTTGAAACAAACTTACTGAACGCTCAACTAAGTTTTCATACTTCGTCAGCGCGTAAATTATTAACACAAAGCTACTTAAGCGACACAACGCATGGAATATAATTTTAAAGTCCCGAGTAACAATCTAATGGTTTCAGACTAAACCCTTGAAAAACTAAACTGCCGTGTTACCCAAGTACGCGGCACTAGAAGTTTGAGTGCGGGTACTCCTTGAATCATTTAGTTAGTTGAGCACCTAGGCTCAGTCGCTTAAGTCTGGATCGTGTGAAGTAATTTGTACAAGTTTTTAGTTTCGAAATGCTTTTAGTACTCACATTTACAAAGTAAAACGTTAAGTACTTGCGTAATAACTTGTGCATACAACTAATTTAGAATATTTTAAGTAGAAATAAAAACCGTCTGCTCTTTTCTCTTTTCAGGGCACCTTGTTTAAGTGAAAGTCAAGTGTTGAGTAAATGATTTCTGTATTAATTAATTAAGTACGGACTACTTTAAACTTTATGCTACTACAACAAGCAAGTTAGAGAATTAAAAAATATATATGATGAGTAGGGGAGCGAGGGGCTTGTTGTAACAGTTTTCATTAAAACTCATATATCTTTGGATTTATTGATTAAATTTCTACTAAATAAAGATGGGTGGATGCTATAACTCTTCCTCTACCAAATCAAGTAAAAATAATACCATAATTACGGGTCATTATTTTATAATCAATTATTTTCTAGATGAAGTGCGGTGTTACAACTTACCTCGTGCTTGGGGCAAGTTGTAACGTCTACCGGGGCAATTAGTAACGATAAAAAAAACGACAATAAAACCTTTAATTATTTATTATTTGTTTATTTTTAACAAATTTGTCATTTTTTAAGTAAATACTATGTAATTCTTATCAAAAATCAACTCAAATACACTTTTTTAGTAATCAACACCTAAAAATTAAGTAATTAACAGTTTTATTTAGTTAAATACTACTTATAATCTTCATAGCACTTTTAAATCACAGTAAGTAATTAAATTATTTATATTTAGGTATGTTACGTAATTATCTCTTCTTAATATCTATCTAAAAAAGTATTTTTCTTATATAAGAATCAAACCAAATGGTTGGTTACATTATAATTAAATTCAGTCTTCATCTGAGTTACAATTAATACAAATAAAAGATATAATGTCTCCTGTAACACATCCTACATGTGCCCACATCTTACAAACGATACACACTACCCAATCTTCTTTATGTGAATCTGTGTAAGCTTCACCACATACCAGACAACACCACTCTTCTGATTCAAATTATGAATCTGAACATAAAATCTTTTTTTTAGCTCTGTCCACGCCGGTTTTATTTTTTGTTGATTAACCTTTGCCTTTCCATAAAATTTTGGAACCAGTCAGTACCAGCCATGTTATTTTGATGCCAAGAAGGAGGAATGTTTTTAGCATTAAGTTGCACACCGCATTGGTAAGCTAGTTTCCTTACTTCTGTAGGAAGTAGTCCAAAATATATATCAGCGCACTTGAGGTAGGAAGCGATCTTACCTTCTTCTTCTGCAGTAAATACTTGTCTAGACTTAGCATAACCAACTCTTAATCTTTCATTATTCTTTTTTTTTTTACATATCTATAAAGAGAGACGTGACATAATCTGAAAGTCTGACTAGCTTTCCGAATACTGCATTTTTTTTCTAAAACTTCAGCTGCTACTAACTCGTACACTTCTTGGCTTTGTGTTGCCCGCTCTGACTTTATTTTATATACCCTCATTCTAGAACAAATGAAAAAAATAAGTAGGTATCTACATCATAACTTGGGCTTGTAACACGTTACAACAAGCCCCGGGATTTTGTTACAACTAACCCCATGATATGATTTTTAACATTTATCAAGATAACTATTTAAACAATTTAGCAATTATAAAAACTGTTACACATTATCAGAGATAGATAAATTTGAATGGAAATAAGATATAGAAAATTTGAAATTAGTCGATAATAATAACGCAAACCGAAATTTTACGATAGTACAATTTTATATTACCTGGCAAAAATGAACCACGTGCACACTTCCGCTCATTACGCCTGTCGATGGGACACTGGCTATGGTAATATGATGCGTCGTTGTTTATAGGTCAAAATGAGTCAAAAAAATTCGTTAATAGCGTTTAAGATCCTATCGCAAAGAGCCTGTTACTACTTACCCCTGTTACAACAAGCCCCTCACTCCCCTACGAGCAAATACCGTATATAAATGCTCTGACTGAGTATAAATGGAGAGCATTTCAGAGCTTTGACTATGATAATTATGAACATTTAAGTAAGTCTGTCTTTAATTAAAAGTAATTAGTTTGCCTAGGTCAGTATTCAAAAACCAAGCCTTGCTAAAGTTTTAACACTGAATAAAAATAATGTAGCGGGAGAGAAGGATCGAAACGATATAATGACTTTCTAAGCACTCAGTTTGTGAAGTGTCAATTTTCTTGATGAAAGTTTCAGCTTCGGAAATTGCCCGCGTCGTTTTTGTTAAAACAGGTGCTTTAGTAGGGACACAATGAATCACTCGTCTTCTTTTTACAAAATTTAAATGTTTGCTGTGCTGTGTACCTAATGACTCATTTACATTGCTTTGAATCAAATTGTTGAATCAAAAAGAATCGTTAATGTTTACTAGTAGTTATATATCATGTTATGTACGCATATTTGTGGAATCATGGTCTTTCATTGACTGTTTTATATATTATGCTGTGTTTCTGTTTTGTGTATTTATAAAAAAATAATCAAATGAGTTTAGTTGTTAACCGTAGATGTGTTTGGAAAATTAATATTTATTGTGGGTATGGCAGGTATTTTATGCCAACACAATATTAATAATAAAAATTCACAGACTTTACTTATATTGGGTTATCAAGCTAATCAGAGCCTCATACCTGACACTAGAAATGCACTGAAATGATTCGAATGTTGATTTAGTTTAGCTGTTCCTATCTTGAAGCGGTAGGTAGTTAGCGACAATTTTGTTACGTTCCGAGGAGACTGAATCGAGGCATTTGATGAACTCGTCACACTCCGCTGTTGGTATGAATACCAACTGACGTTGATTTCCACAAACATGCTTCAGACGCGTGCCATTTGTGCTGCGCTGCGTTGATTAATGTTTACTAAATACTCAAACAAACTAAATGTTGACATATTCGGTTAATCCGATTGTGTCGTACTGTCATTCATTTTTAAATCGATTTTCTAACTTGTTGAGTGCTCTAATTAAGTAATAATAACAAATACAAGTTTTGGGTTCGGATTAACTGTTATAAAACTGATTACATTTAATATTGCTATAATACAAACTTTAGAGTAACGTCAAAGACACCAGCAACCTATCGAATAGTTTCGTAATACAATCCAGGCTTTGCAGAGTTGTCCATCTGAGCGATTTTTTTATGGGATAAGTTGGTAAACGAGCAGACGGGTTACCTGATGGTAAGCAATCGGCGTCGCCCATTGGCACCTGGAACAGCAGAGGCGCTACAAGTGCGTTCCCGGTCTTTTGGGATTAGGAATTTGTGGATAGTTGGGTATACAGGGATTAGGGAGATTGGGGAAGGGGGAGGGGGTAATTGGGCCTACGGTAACCTCACTCACACGACTAACGTTGTTGTTTTACGTCGGTTTTCTGTGAGGCCGTGGTATCACTCCGGTCGAGTTATAAACCCCTCTCTAAGGCGTGCATTAGGATATAAAAATATATTTAAATTTACCTTTTCGGGGAACCACGGCGTGACAAACGGCATTTGGAAGGTATTAGCGTAAGAATGCAAGGTGTCGAATGAATCCGGAGCAACTGCACCCAGCATAGCAACTACGCTTCGTGCAAATTGATTACATACTGAAACAAAGAAAAACATACCGTCCTTAATATTTATTTTAACAAAATAACAAATTTCTTTTACCTGTAGCAGGTTTCACAATACATGTTCTTACTGAGAGTTTTGTCATTAATGTAACGAAAATACTTGGGTCCCGAAAATCGAACATTATATTGGCTTAATTTTTAAGTTAGAACTATCAATTATCAGACACAAATTCCAGTTTGCATTTAACCTTTTAATTTCTCGAATTGTTCATGTTGTGTAATTCTGGAACTAACATTTCCTCAATTTATTTTGTTTCTTTTTTGTGTTATTTATAGTTCCTGAATTAAAAAACTGTTTCACTTATAATATAATTAATCGTAAATCATTGTTTGTTACATACATTGTGCAAATATACAAGGTGTAGTTTTGAAACCGTGTCATTTCTCGGGGGCATGTCACAGAAGTCATAAAGGTTCAATGTAAGAAAAAGTATCGGGCCAATTGTTAAAAATACGCCTATAATAAATCGTTTAAGCTCGACAGTATTTCAGATTAAGCGACAGCAATGGTTCTTATTGGAGTTTTATGGAATCAGGAATAATATCAATTAAGTGTTTGAATTTGTGTGTGTTAAGCCGCGTTATAAAATTGGTTACAAGACGGCGGCGTGTAGTTCGTATTTACGGATTTCTGTAATTTACAGAAAAATGTTACCTCCTAGAAAATGACGCGGCTTTAAAACAACACCTTGTATATAACAAGCGAAAGGAAAACAAACATCTTTTAGATACTTAGATGTATCCAGAGCCGTGGAAGACTTAACGGGTTACTGGGGCTCGAAGCAGAAGTAGGAACAGAGTGGTTATTAGTCATTAAGGGTCTGACAGTCTCTCTCGCCTCATCCAAGGTCATCTCTCCTTAGATCATCATCTCGCCTTGGTTGAGGCGAGAGAATGTCAGTGAAGGCATTGATTGATTTTCCTGCTTAAAAAAACTAAAACATTTTAAAAGGCTAGTTTAAAATTAAATTATAGGTGTAGCAATATCATCGCCGCGCAAAGCTTCAGTCGAACACGAACTATCACTGACACCAACTTTCTTAGATACATTAACGCCACTTCAATTATTTTAATCAATTTTTAATTAATATTAACATACATAATGTATAGTTTGTTTTTTACTTATTGAAGTGGCGCATAAACCTAATGAACATACTACTTTTCTGACAACTGAGAATAACACGGAACTCATTTCTTAACTTCTAAACAGTTATTAAGTTGATATAAATACTTAGCAAAATTTTGGAATGATGAACTAATAATTCCGCTTTAATAAAAGCATCAGAGTTCCTTTTAAGTGAAGGTATAGTTCATGTTTTCGATTCCTTAATGTACATATTATACATACGACGTCCATATTATTTGCTGTTATTGTTTGAAATTATATTCTTACAAGAATGACACCTACAGCATACTAATGCGATAGTTTGACTTGAATATTTATTGCGTTTACTAAATACTCGAGTACTATAAACCCGCAAATAATGAACCGTTATTAGTTTAACGTTTGTAATTTATCTATAACGTTCCTTAACGCATATAGATAAGTTGTTTACATTGCTCATTGCCCACTTATATTTCCGTTCATAAAGGTAACTACTATTACTTTCCAGTACCTAATTTCAGATCGTCTTAAAACGGAATTGATTTTAAGTTGTATATTAATGTAAGTAATATTATGTTTAAAAGCAGGATACATCCATCTGGCTATGAGATAAGTAAGTATCAGTTGTGAAATGATTTATAAAAAAAATGTAATGAATTATTTGCAATAAACTGCATTAAATGACTCGAGTAATAAGCCTAAATTGTCAGACCATTGCTAACTAGATGTCCAATTTCAAAATAAAGCTACAATTATTGAGCAAACCTAACTATTATATAGCTAAACGTGGTCATCCGCCCTTTAGCTATTCAATTGCAGCTTTCCTGTAAGAATAACGTGGAGAATATCGAATGTAAGGGCGGATATCATTTTTCCTGCCACGCACGCATTAGCGCTCTCAGTACTTCCAAATATTGTTGGGGGTATTGGTGTTGAAATATGGATGCGGTAGTAAAAAAAGCAAATATCGCTCGGTTTGCCCGCGGGGACAACACGGTATGCGGATCACGTCGGGCCGGCATCACGCTGCGACTCATACACTCACAAACACTTCGCCGCCCCCTAGACCGTTAGTGCTTATGTTACCAAACTTCATAATACTTCTATTTTTGTTTGCGGCGGTACAACTTCACCTTTGAGGGGTTTTAATACTGAGCCAACTTTAAAGTTGTTGAAACGAATAGCGTTTAGGGACCGAACGGTTTCGAAGTATATTTAAGTTATCTCGCATGAATACAGTTTCTAGTGTTTGTTACAAACTCATACATATGTTTGAATTTTGATTTCAATGGTAGGATAGTGGAAGTTACCCAATTTGTTGAGAGATAAAAAAAATTTGTAAAAAGCAGAAAATTTTATCGCAAACTTACATTCAGGTTATATGAAAAAGCCTCAAAGTTGGATTGAAGTACAATGTTCAAAGAAAAAAATAAAGGTTGGTACATTATACTAATATATATATATATATAGAAGGAGCATGTGTTTGAGAACTTGGTCGATTCATTAAATGTAAAAATTTTGTTTCAAAAGATTATCCATCACGACGTGTCTTTCAATCCGAGAATCTGTTGCTAAGTATACAGTGTGGAATTTTTAAGACATGTACGTACGTATTGATTCTTATGTCAGGAAGAATCTTCGGATTACTTTCCAAAAATAAGGAAAGTCTGACCAGAAATAAAACATTATCGATAGTTATGTTTTGATATGCTTTTTCCTCTGTGTACCATTCCTAAAATAAGTTGTAACACATACAGAATTTTTAATAACGCACTATATTAAAATTATTCAAAGTAGTAGAGCAAAATCATTTACTGATTATCAATAATTTCTTGAAAAAATCACAATATTCTGTTTGTATTCTCCTGTTTACGCCTGGACTTAATTCATTTTTAGATTATTATCAAAACATTCTTTATTTCCTTGAAATAAAGTTGAAAGTTTATACGTAAGCTTAATCACTGAGAAAAATATAGTTCTGTTTTTATTGCGTTGAAAATTCGATAAGGCAGCAAAAATAAACATGGCATCATAAAAGTCAATGCATGTTTCGATGTTGCATTCAAAGGATGTTTGAAAAGAAATGATGAAAAGGAATTGTGAAGATGGTTATAGGCGCAAGCGGCGGTAGCGGAGCGCTGCACGATCTCTGCTTATTCAAGTGCTTGTTTGCACGGCTCAAGCAGGTATTCCTTCAAGCTCTATTGAGTTACGTGCCCTATTCTCACTTACCCTATCAGATATTCATGCCGACACTGCGCTTATGCGATGTTCGAAACTCTATATCAAAAGTAGCTGGAATAGAAATCACATACAGAATAGTTTATTAGATAACCATGTTATTGATTCCATAGTTAAAATAGTACATTTACAATAACTTTCTTGCGATTTTTAAATAAAATATTTTTAAACAACACTGTTCCAGAATTGAATCCTTCTGAATATTCCTATTTTAATATTTGTCGTTATATGTATTATGCAATGCTATTAAACTAAGTAATTATTACCTGCGTACATGTGGTTAAATAGTAGCTACATGTTCTGTCATGGTTTACCTGCATACATTTCGATTTTGGTTTACGTCCATTTCAGATTGCTCCCTTTTATTGTATTTACCTAGTCATATTTTTTTACAGTGGAAATATTTCTGACTACCTGCGATGAAAACAAAAACATTTTGTAGAGGCTATGTATAAAATATTATATTGCTCGATGATTAATTTGAAAGAAAATACACTTTTAGAGCGGCACTAATACGTACTTTATACCAGCACAACATGTTTGGCTTGAGTCTGAACTCTGAAGTATTAAAATTTTGCGAAACAATTACCGCACTGGAAATATATCCACCAACAGGCTTCGAACTCAAGCCTACTTAAAAAAAAAACAATTTTGGTAAATGAAAGTGGTTTGATATGATTAAGTTACAATATTAGTTAGATAGGAATAAAAATAAATTGTCTACACACTTAGGTTTCCAGCTGACAAACACGCGGTGTTAAATAGGTAGCTAAGCTAAGCACACAGCCCGGCCGCGTCAACCAACACAAGTCAAAACTAAATGACACGCTTGGGAGCAACTTAATACAAGACGAATAAAGTCACAAGGTTAACCTTTTCAAATAGGAAATTAATGTGAAATAGCGGTCATTTCCAACACACTGTAATGTGGAGTGATATGAAATAAGGTCTTGTCAGTGTAAACTTGGTCTAAGTAAGGGTTTAATTATAGTTCCGGTGGTTAATTACTCGTTTCCGTACACAATAATGACGCAATCCGGAATTTGGTATCAAAAAGCCGAGAGCGCATTGTTTGTATAAGACATGGAAGTAAATTATTAAAGTAAATAACGTTTTCATTCTATTAACATACATTACCATTATTTGGTATATATCGTTCTATCTCTGCAGCTGATCACGTAGCAAGTGCTTGCGATGTATAAACGTTTCAAAACAAACTAATTGAACTAACTAGACAAAGTTAATTTTCAGAGGAGAATGGTATGTAGGGCTTAGATGTGCCAAAAGGTATTGATTAATTACTGATATGGACATCGACTCTTTGCCCTTGTTATGAAAACAAAGGCTTGCTTATCAAACTAGCCACGGACTTAGACTTTACCCTCAATTCATTTCCATTTTGTGAGCTCGCTAAAGTCATAGCATACTTCAATGAACCGCTTCCATTAGCTATGATGTTGTTGACGAAAACCTAGTTTAATGGATGATAGTAATTGAAACAGACTGTATGCGGCGCCAACAGGCAATATTCACCACATCGGAGAAACAGGGTTATTGATTTTCAATCAACTTCACGAGAGCGAATAATTACAATAGTTGAGTGTTGAAAAAATTAGTTTTTACATTC